GTCTATCGTATTGGACAGTATTGATTTTGCTGGTACGATTGTCCCATTGTGCGGAAGAGCCATACATACGTCATATGCCTTTAAGATTGTGATTGTAATGCAGTGCCCACTCTGTCATTAATGAGCGTATTTTTTAAAAACATAAATGACCAGCAGCTGTTTGTTTTCAATAGTATTTATACCAGTTATTTGTAGAATCAGAATATTTCTTCAATTGATTTGCAATTATTTTTTAGCTCCGCTGTCAACTTTGTCGAGCGGAGCTTATCATATGAGTGACTGTCCGTCGTCCGTGTCAATGTTTTACATTTTCGACTCCCATGTGCGAAGCACATAATGGGAGTCTTTGCAGTTAGTGTATGTGTGTATGTGTGTATGTGTGTCCGACTGTTCCACTGCTATCTCAAGAACCATACATCGGTTTTACATTTTCGACTTCTTCTTGAAAACTACAAGTCTGAATGCTTTGATACTTGGTGTATATGTACCTTGGGTAGACCTTTCTCAGATTTGTTCATTTCATGATCATATCTTCAATTCTCTAATTTTGGTGAATATTTTTGTCATTTTTGGTAAAAAGTGATATTTTCAACTTCTTGTTAGAAACCGCAAGTCCAATTGCTTTGATACTACATATATAGGTACTACATGTGAACCACTCTCAAATTTGTTCATTTCATAATGATATCTTTTATTTTCTAATTTTGGTGAATATTTTTGTCATTTTTGGTAAAAAGTGATATTTTCAACTTCTTGTTAAAAACGACAATTCCAAATGCTTTGATATTACATATATAGGTACTACATGTGGACCACTCAAATTTGTTCGTTTCATAATGATATCTTTAATTTTCTAATTTTGGTGAATATTTTTGTCATTTTTGGTAAAAAGTGGTATTTTCTTGTTAAAAACCACAATCATTTATGGTCAAAAATGATATTTTTTGAATTCTTGTTGAAAACGGCAAGTCCCATTGCATTAATACTATGCATATTGTTCATTTTCTAATGATATCTTCTGTTCTTTAATCGAAATGTGCATTGCTATCTCAGCCGAGAGGCTGCTTGTTTCTTTCTTTGATCTCGATGACATACATTTCACAATTT